TTGTTGGAGCTTTAGAACTCTCTGGTTTTTGTTCATCATGTGTTGGTTCTGCTTCAGAAGAATCTCCTTATTTAACCTCATTTTCCACATGTATCTATGTAGTCTCTGACTTTTCAGCGTTATCATCGTCTTCTTTTCTTTGTATCTTATTTTCTACAAAGATAACATCCCTGTTGATGATCAATTTGCGGGCAGTGAGATCTCACAAGCGATACCCCTTTACTCTATCAGCTAACCCCAAGTATTTGTATTTCCTGGATTTTGGATCCAGCTTTGAAATTTCTTGGGAGTTGTACATCACGTACACAATACTTCCAAATATATGGAGGTTTGAATAATCAACTGGTTTACCAGTCCACATCTCCATTGGTGTCTTCAGCTCTATTGCAGTTGATGAAGCTCGATTCACCAAATAACATGCGGTATTGACTTCTTCTGCCCATAATGATTTTTTCTAGCTTGCATCTCTCAACATTGCTCTTGTTCTTTCTAACAAGGTTCTGTTCATCCGCTCTATCACTCCATTTTGTTGAGGAGTTCGTCACTGTGAACTGTCTTTTGATGCCTTCATTCCTGCAAAAGTCATCAAATTCTTCACTTGTGCATTCTCCTCCATTATCTGTTCTAAAACACTTGATCTTATTTCCAAAATCAAGTTCCACCCGCGGTTTGAAGTTTTTGAAAGTTGAAAACACATGATTTCTTCTTAATATGGTACACCCAATATCTCCTGGAGTAGTCATCAATAAATGAGACAAAATATTTTGCTCCACCTAGGGATGTAGCTGTTGCTTGCCATACGTCAGAGTGAACCAATTCTAGAACACTTTTGCCTCTAAAATTTGATGAGTTAAATTTCAACCGGCGCTGCTTACTTGTTATGCAATGCTCACACAAAGTAAGTGATACATTTGTTAAGCTTGGAAGTAGTTTTTGCTCCACAAGGACTTTCATTCCTTGTTATGACATATGTCCAAGTTTCTGATGCCATAGCATTGCATAATCTGAACTACATGAGGTAACATAGGCTTCTACTTCTAGCAAAGTCTCTCCCTTCAGCATGTACAAGTTTGCAACTATCTTTTTGTATTTCAGCACCACAAACGCTTCACGAAACACCTTCATGATTCCTTTATGTGTTTCAATATTGCTTGCATTATTATCTAACAATCCGTAGGATAATAAATTTTTCTTCAGAACCTTCACGTGCCGCACATCTCGAACAACTTTAATTGTTCTATCATATATCTTCAATTTGATGGTTCCCACGCTAATGATCTCTAAGGCATGATCATTGCAATTATACACAGATCCTCCTGAGACAGGTTCATAATGATGAAACCATTCTCTTCTTGAGGTCATGTAATATGTTGCTTACAAATCAATGAGCCATATATCTGCAAATCTTTTTCTGTCTTCCACTGTGGTTGACGCTTCACAACATAGAACATCCCCATCATCTGAAGTGTTTGTGGTATTGCCTTGTGGATTGGAGTTTTTATTTAGACTCCAACAATCCTTCTTCAAGTGACCATTCTTTCCACAGTTATAGCACTTTAAATTCTTCTTGCTCCTCGACTTCGATCTACCATGTTTGTGACTGCTGCTTTGGCCATGTTCTGTTGATCTCCCTCTTATCGTTGTGAACGTTTCTGCTTGTTGCAGATTTACTTGTCTGTCTTTCTTGTTCTTGCGCCAATTTTCTTCTTATAGAACAAAAGCTGCAACGTTATCGAAGACTAGACTGTTGACATTATTGTTTGTCAAGTTGATGATGAGTTGATCATACGAATCAAGTAGACTTTGAAGTAGAAGTTCAACACGTTCTTGTTCTCCTATTGTACATCTTAAGGATGTAAGATGAGAAAATAAAGTGTTTAGTGTATTTAAGTGTTCCGTTACTGAAGTAGATTCTGGCATTCGGAGAGTGTACAATTTCCTTTTAAGGAAAATTTTATTGTGCAACGATGTGTCCTCGTATAATTTGGTGAGATGATCCCATATCTCCTTAGTTGTCTTCTTCTCCTCGATGCTTGACAATACTTCATCTGCTAATGCTATATGAAAGTTTGCCATAACATTCTCGTCCATTTCGATCAATTTGTTGTCATCTGTGAAATCTACCTGCATTTCACTGATAGGTGCTAGACATCTGTTTTTCCTCGGGATGTCATCCATCTTCAAATTCTACAATGAGAAATTTCTCCCATTGAATTTTTCAATATCAAATTTCGTTGCCATAACTTCTTTTACAAATAGCTTCCACTATTTCACTATTGTGAATAGTTCTCTGGAACCTTCAAAGAATGAGTAATACATTCTTACTTTCTTATGTTGGAGGATCCACCTTTTGGTGGCAACCACAAAGACAATAAGTAGATATTACACACTCTAATCTGACTCGGATACCAATTGTTGCGGAAGACGACTATCAGGTAGAGCAAAATCGCAAAGATAATTTGAGAAAAAATAAAGACACAAATTTTACGTGGAAAACCCCTAAATAATATAGGGTAAAAACCACTGGCAACGGTAAAAGAATTTCACTATGAGAAAATAGGAATTACAACTTCTCTCGATCTACCAAGGAGAAAACAATATTAATTCTCTCTTGATAAAATGGAGAAAACAACTCTCAAGAAACTCTCTAAATTCTCTAGTATTGGGAGAAAGCTAGAATGATTTGGGATGGTTTTGAAGCTAAATGAGATAGGGTATTTATAGTTGAAGCTTAAGGACTAATCTTGTAAATACCTTAAAGTGAAAATGATTAAATTATAATTGTCCTTTTCCAAAAGCCATCAAAATCATGTCATTTAATTTTTCAAAAATTAGGTGCAACTTTCGGTGCCAAACTTTCCATCGAAAGTTTGCTTATTTTTTCAACGGGAGACATTGTCCAACTTTTTTGTCCATATGTTTAGTCACTACATTGGTTGCGACAACATTGGGCCCAAACTAGGGCAAGTGAAGAGGGCATGCTTCATGAGAGCAAGGTTATGACCAATGTCACCTACCAGATCTCGTGCTTATAGGAAGAGTGATTTGAGTAAGTAGGACACATCGTATCATCATTATTTTTTTGAGTGATCATTGATCGTCATACAAGCTCTACATCTCCTTTTGTAGTCACTGACCAGATATAACATATCATGTTGGGGATAATTTTAGGAAGAAAATGAGGAATGATGCTTGTTATTTTATCTTTAAGGATACATTTCAATTGGTTATTTTCTGGTAGGAGGTATTCTACGTTCATTGCACCATTTATTAACTTGATGAAATGGATTGTGATGACAATAAACAATTCACCCTTTTTGATTTGGACGGAGAACTGCAATCGGTGAGTAATCGTCGTGTATCAATCGTATGATCATAATGCTTATCCGTAGGCTAACAAGTTAAGTGGGATACGATTAGGTTACAATAAGTTTGATTCTAGTAGGTTACGTGAACCTCTCAAAGGTCATATAAACTAGTCAAAACTTTATGAGATTTAAATTTTCGAGATTTTTTTTAATTGAGATGTTTTTTTATGTCTTTTCAGAGGTCCCTAGATTCTAACAATTTAAGAATGTTTTGAGGTCTTTCAGTGATTTTGAGGCACCAGAATATTTTGTGTGTTAATCTTTGGGGGTACAACAAAAAGCAAATCAAATTTCTTTCATCGTGTATTGAAGAAATGCAACAATTCTCATGTTGTTGATATCATTGGGGTTTGATTTCCTAATCTCTAGAGTTGATTTTAGTAGGGCTGAAATCATCAAAATTTTATGCAAATATGAACCTTCCATAATCTCCTTTGACTTTATTGTATGCTTACCCCATAATTATTAGGAATTTCACTAAGTTAATTTGGCATTAAATTATTTTAGCCTTCAATTATTTCGGCCTTTTTCGTACTCCTTATAATAGTCGGCAAAAGTGCCCAAATAAGGATGTGAGAATGTTTAATTCCTAAACTAATGCCCTCATCCAATTAATTCCTGATCTAGGGTATTTTCTACATGATTTTAGGATTTCTCGGCGTCTTTAGGGATATACCAGATTTATCGGCGTCTTTAGGGTGAATTCTATTGTTGAAATACCGACGTCTTTAGCATAAAAAAAGTTGGTGTTTTTATATAAATATCACCTTAACAGAAATTAATTACTTGTTAGACACTATATAAGAATATTTTACTGTTCTAGCAAAATTTTAAATATTTTCTATAAAATTATTCTTGCATTAAATTACACAATACAATTATGTCAACCAATTACCACTTGATACTTTCTGATGCGTTTTTGACACTTTCAAAATCCTATACGTATAATATATTCTAGGATTTTAAAAAATAATTTTGCAGAAAGGTGCGACACATTCACTGCATAGGATTTTGAAACATAAATATTAGTTATAAAACTTTTATAAATATTTTTCAAAATCCTATGCGGTGCATGTATCGCGCCTTTCTACAAAATTATTTTCAAAATGATGATAATGATGATCCGTAATATTTTATAAAATTGTTTATATTTTAAATTATTTATCCTCAAAGTTTTCTTAGAATATACTATAAGTATAGGATTTTGAAAAGATCAAAAATGCATCAGAAAGTGTCAAGTAGTAATTGGTAGATATAATTGTATTGTGTAATTTAATACATGAATAATTTTATAGAAAATATTTAAAAATTTGTTAGATTCGTAAAATATTCTTAAACAGTACATAACAAGTAATTAATTTCTGTTAAAATGATATTTATGTAAAAACGCTAATTTTTTTTCTTAAATTTCAATTAAAAACACCTAGAGATCCTAAGAAATAAACCTGATCTCAAAACCCTATAAAAACACCCTAGATCATATCATAAATTAATCGAATGAGAACATTGGGTTGAGAATTAAATAATTCCCACAGCATTTTTGCCTGAATTTAGAAGCACATTGTTTGATTAAAACATAAGTCCGAAAAGAAAGGTGGGTCCAGCTTTCGTATCATTTCTCTTTCCTTCACTTTCTTTCGGGCATCCATATCCAAATACACTCCCTTCTCTTCTTCATCAGTTTCTGTTTCAAGGAAGGAAAAAAAATCCCATTCTTTTCCTATCTTCGGCTTTTCATCGAACAGGTTTGTCACAATCTAATAAAACCCGCACACTCTTACACTATCTTTTCTTTCACTTGCCCTTTTAACCGCTCTTGATTGCTTAAAGTCTTTTGTCAGATTTATTTGCATAAATTAGTTTAAATTTATTTGCATAAATTAGTTTAAATTTATCCTCTGTAACGATCCAAGTATATTTTTTTTCTGTTAGCTTCTATTGAATTATTCTCTGTTTGAATTAGTTTAATTCTGAATCTATTTTTGTTATTCAACTTTGTATTGCCTTTGTTTTAACTAGATTTAAATTAGTCTTGTCAAATAGCTTAAAAGAGTGATATTTTTTTATTATTTGAAGAAAATCGATTTTTGTTTGTGTACAGCTTGAAAGTATGGAAATCTAATTTAATAATAAAGGCTGGATTTTCAGTTAGGGTTTGTTATGAACAAGTGTTCTCTTTTAAAAATTTGTTATTAAGCTATAGAAATCAACGAGTTTTCTTTGAATTTTAATATATACGTAGGAGCTATGATTCGTCTGTTTAAAGTAAAGGAAAAGCAGAGAGAACTTGCTGAAAATGCAAATGGGGGAGCTCCTACCAAAAAGCAGAGTCCAGGAGAATTGCGTTTACACAAAGGTTTGTTTCTAATGTTTTGTGCATTGAGTGTTTAATATTTTCTTGCTCGTTTTCTTTGGCTTTATTTATTTATTTATTTATTTAAATTTATGTTGTTTTAGCATTGGATCTACTGGCTCAAGAGGATCTGTGTTTGATCCAAATGTGTTTCTCATGCTTTATCTTGACTCTCTACATGCAGATATTTCTGAGCTGAACCTACCCAAATCTTGTGCTATAACATTCCCTAATGGAAAGGATAACCTGATGAATTTTGAGGTTTCAATTCGACCCGATGAAGGATATTATTTGTAAGGGATTTCTTTCATGCCTCTTATTTGAAACGAGTTGTCTTTTGTTCTCTGACATAAATCTTTTGGTTAAAGTCCTTATTTACTGGGAATGACGAGCTTATTTTTTCATATGGTTGTTTTACGTTCCTTTTCTGTTATTAATAAACGCTAACACGTATTCGACTGATTGGCTGCTATTGTTACAGCGGTGGCACATTTTTGTTCTCCTTTCAAGTTTCTCCAATCTATCCGCATGAAGCACCCAAAGTTAAGTGCAAGACCAAGGTAAGCTGGTTCATTTTATTTTCTTATAAATCATCTGTTCCTTCACTGAATTCATGTTATTATCCAGCTTGTATCATGTTTTACTCCAATTTCCAGGTCTACCATCCAAATATTGATTTGGAAGGAAATGTTTGCCTTAACATCTTGCGTGAAGACTGGAAACCGGTGCTCAATATAAATACTGTAATCTATGGACTGTATCATCTTTTCACGGTAATGCATAGTGTATTTTTTACACTAACTGTATGAATTTACAGCTATCTGATATCTGCATCTTCGAATTTTGTGTGCAGGAACCAAATTACGAGGATCCCCTCAACCATGAAGCTGCTGCAGTGTTGAGGGATAACCCAAAGATATTTGAATCTAATGTGAGGAGGGCTATGTCTGGTGGGTATGTTGGTCAAAACTTTTTTCCCCGGTGTATCTAGCTTTTGCAAGGTACCTGAAACTGCAAATGCACACGTCATCAAAACTTGAGTTTCTGCGGGTTGTATAACTTTTCACTGTAGTTTTCTTTATGCTATTGTATGTTTATGTGGCATATATCATTTTAATGTGGAACTAGGATAGAGTTGATCGTCTGAATTTAATGCACTTATTATGATATTCTCTCTCTGAAATTGAAGACATTATCTTTGTTACTTTCACCTATTTTTTCTTTGCTGTGCAAGGATATCGGAACTGTCTCAAAATGAATCCTTTATGATGGATTTGCCTTCGGTTATGGTATTACAACTGCATGCTATTCTTAGGTTGCTTAATTATGCTTATTAGGTTACAAGATACCAATGATATCAAGTCAAATGTACCTTTATTGTATGTGTAAAATATGTATAGATGCTCATCTGCCCATATGGTTTTGTGATAAAACAACAATGGTTCTACAATTATATGCTATCAATGTCTGGTAATGAATTCACAAGCTCATGTATTTTCATGATGAAGAGGCTGCTATGGTGATGATGGTACATACATGTCATAGTGAAAATATTTTGTGAATTAAACTCGCAAAATATAATCAAGTATTCACTCAAACCATCCCTTGCGCTTTCAAAGCTGCCAATCTAACATTTGCACGGTCTCGCCTGAAGAGTTTGTACAATGGCGTGTAACACAAACAGCACAAGCCAAAAGGAACTGCTATCATTGATAGCAGTCCTCTAGACAACGCTAATGCCTCGTGTGGAGGACCGTTGATTGGATCAATGGATTTTGAATAATAAAAAAACATCTTCTCCGACAGGATACCTACGAAGGGAGCAGCAAAAGAAGATAATGATCCTTCAAAGGCACGATTGAACGCATAGATCATGGTCCGATGTTCCGATGTTTAGAAGGGTGTTTGCGGATGTAGCATTCCAACTGATGGTTAAGCCCATCAAAAACAGGGTGACAGCAAAGGTGTAATAGCTGTTCTTTGACTGAGGGATCACTTGAAGAAGGAACACTGAGAATGGAATGCCCATGAAAGCGCTGAATTGTGCGCACATGATACGGCCAGTGTGGGTATAAATTTGTGACAGTCTATCTGCTATTAATCCACCAAGAAAGGATCCCATTGCACATCCGATAGCAAAAACACTTAAAAGTGCTGCTGTAGAATTATGATCAAAACCAGAGGGAAAAAGAAAAGAAATAAAGTCCCAAAGGTATCAAAGATCAAACACTAAACCAGTAATTGGTATCAAAGAGAAAATAAAGGCTGTAAGAGTTTGTGAATGTACTTACCAATTAGTTCAAACCACGTGGTAAAGAACACCATGGCAGTCCATGGTAATGAACCAACAACTCTCTGCAAGACAATTATCTGAAAAGTTGGAACTTTTTATCACAGCTTTCGTAGCAGTCAAGGTCTCCAACCAAACGGACGAGACACGAGCATTCCGTTTTTCTACCAACTCATCCCTGCAATATACGAAACCATCAATATGCCAAACCTTAAACGCCAAATAAACATCAAGGACTAGGAAGACTGTCATTTGATTCATATCGGTATTAGAAGTATGCTTAGAGGGTGATAAGATACTGAAACAGATAAATATGGACACTTCAATCGAGCAACTAGTACCTTTTTAGGTCGAAGCCGGCATCATGATTGACGCTAACTGTTTTCGTTGGATCAACAACAAAAGGAACACAAGGAGTCCAATGAATGAACTTAAAGTTGCCATCAAAATGAAGGCACAACGCCATCCAGGCATACCCCAGAATTGCTGACCAGCCATTACCGTAGCAACACCACCACCACCAATGCCTCCTAAGGCCCAACAAGGCTTAGCAGCCCGAATCCGGCCCCTCTCACACCATCCATGTAACTATCAGCTATGAAAGACTGAAATGCTGGTATTACAATCTCCAGTCCAAAGCCATTGCCTGCTTTCCACATTCCAAACTGATGAAACTGTTTGCTTAGACCCACTGCAGCAGTCGATAAGGCCCAGCACATCGTACCTATGGTGAGAACCGTAGGGTGGTCATAGTTAATTATGAGTACACCAGCCAAGCGAGATGCCAACCCCTGCACAAAGTTCCTTATGAAGGTGAGATAGCCAAGATCAGATGGCCCAGAATTGAATGCTTCACTATCTTCTTTGTACACAGATGGAAGGGGGTTTTCATCAGCACGTTCCATAATGGCAGCCAAGTTTATAAGGAGCATATAAATAGAAACACCTAAAATCTTTCTTGCTCTGAGAAAATGTCAAAAGTATATCTCCAACAGATTCAACACAATAAATAAGCATCGATATGAAGTGATGTCCCAATCATGGTTTAGACATTAGCATGCAATTAGGAACCACCTTATAGATTACCATTGAAACCAATACACCTAATTAAGAAAAAGCCATTATCAGATAATGGCTATATTTGGCAGAAAATGAAGGTGCTTTTATAACAAATTATTACATATTAACATCATCTCGGTTGGGGGGGGGGGAAGAGACAGATTTGAAAAGGAAACTCACTTCATGGTTTGAAGATGTCTATGGAACGAATCTTCGAATTTAGGGGAGCAAAAGATCTTAAATGGCTTTCATGAAATCTAAACCAGACATAGATTGCATGGATATCGTGTCTTGTTTATTTTTCTCGTGTGTTTTTTGTCCTTAAATAGTTAAAATAGGAAGCACATTTTGTTGTAACAGAAGCATCAGTGAAGCTAGTATATTAGTTGAAGCCGATATACATGGCCTTCCCTGATACCTTACCGTACAATTAGTTTCTAATATAACAATCGCACCGTTTTAATAGTATATACAAGGGTGAGTATTCGATCGAGCCAAAATATTTTGAGTTATTCGAGTTGACGAGTTATATTTTATAGTTTGAACTTTATTTTAAAAAATTGAATCAAATTGAGTAGAGTTATTTGAATTTCTGTTTAAATTTAATTGTAAATTTTATACCTAGGTTCAATTCACAATGGGAGTAAGAATGATTTCTTACATTAGATGATATGGAAATAATAATAAAAAAATTGACATGTGATACCACATTAGTATTACCATTAAGTTTTTAATGGTAGGATACCTAATTGACACTTGCACTAACTGATCAGGTATGATTTTAAAAAAAAAGTTCAAGTATTAAAAGGAAATAAAGTGTTAGTTTACGTACTATACGTGTAATTTACTCTTTTAACATTTAATTGATAAAAATAATTTAATTATTGATGTGTTTCGGTATGCCACATTAATTGTGTATTTCGGTGTAGGTTGTTGACTATAAACTCATCCCATTAAGAAATAATAAACATATGTATAATTTTTATACAATGTCTAAACTACTTGAGCTTCTCCCCATCCATAGTTTGAAAGATTTTACATATTTAAAAGTACTTGAACTCACGTCCTCGTATATTATAATAATAATTATATTAACTAAAATAAGACTTAATAAAAAAAACGAACGAAACATGTATAGTTAAAATGAGATGAGTGCATTCCTTTTGAATTGAAATTAGAGAGATATATTACATGTTTGGTAAATGTATCAATGGAGATTCACATATAATATTAATTGAAATTATATTTCTCAAGTACATTCATGTATGATTGATTTTTCTAAAATTCATGTAGGAGAATAATTAAATTATCTCGTTGTTATATTATAAATAATTGGCATTGAAAAGTTTACAACATTGGAGAATTAGAGGAAGAGAGATAAAACACACACCAAGTGTAAGAGAGATTATTCTTTTGAATAAGAGATAGATAGTCACTAATATTTGTTGAAAGACTTTATAAAGCATTCTGATTAGAAGAGATATGTTTATACTTGACAGTGAAAAATAAATATGATTTTTTTCTGTTTGAATTTTCTGCATAATTAAAAATCTGTATATTTTTCTTATTGCTCATTATTTCTTTATTTTAGCATTTTTATTGTCATAAAAAGGGAAAGAATATTTTTTTTGCTATCTTTTTCCCAACAAATATCAACAAGTGTTTGGTGCAACCATAAGACATAATATTTTCAAAAAATAAAATAAAATTTAATTTTAAATTTTAGAGATAATAATATTAGAATGAATAATTATAAAACTCGATTATGAACAATAAAATGTACATGCTTCATAAAAAATGGAAAGCCTCGGTTTATAAAAAAAAATTACTTTAAAAAAGTTATAGTTTTGATTGTTCATCTTTTGACATATTGGGTAATAAAAATGTAATGTTAGATTATACTTTATTAGAAAAAAGGTTAAATTGACATAATAAAAATCATCTTGTTTCAATTCAATCATTTATAAAAATTTAGATCCAATTCATCATAAAATTTGTTGTTAACGATTATTTTTACTACACATATTAAAATTAATTGAGTTATTCTTTATAATATAATTTGTGTTAAATACATAAACTATTTTATGAAATTTTAAGATATTGAAAATAGTAATTTATAAACATTTATTATCAAAATCCTAAAAATTGAATAAAAGTAATGTAAAAGAGGAATCATTCAGGAAGCATTGTTTTGGGAAATAAAGAGGTTGTCGGAGATGGTGCTTTGACATGTAGGTTCGCGCGTACTGGTCTTTTTGTGGGAATTAAGGAGGTTGTTGGGTGAATGCAAGCTCTTATTCGAGCTTCAAGGTTTTTTTATTTGATTTCGGTTAGCAAGTGAGTATCCATTTTTCAGTGAGTGGCCTTTGGCCAAGTTATGGGTGATTTTGCTGTTTCGTTTTGTTGTTTAGTTACATTCCCCGGGTCTTGTTGTCTGTGTATGTTTCTCAGTGTGTCCTTTATTCATATTGTAACCCCCTCAGACCGATAAGGGTAACCTGATCCGATCTGGAGTGTCACATTAGGGCCACCGGAGCGACCCATTGTAAAAATAACGGAAAATTTAAAACTTTTAATAAAAACATGTACTTATAAAATGATTTATCAGTATACAAAACTAAAACAGATTTTCAGACTCGTATATAAAACAAAATACAATTACATGCCCCCTAATCACATGTACCGTACTCTGCAAACAACACCGGAAGAACTCCCTTACTGAAGTCGATAGCTACACTGGTACAATTCTTTTAGCCTGAAAAGATGAGTAACAAAGTGAGCTTTGGAAAGCTCAGTAATACAAAACTACCAGATGATGCTGAAGA